TCCAGTTTATGATAAGATATCTTGTAAAGGAGAGGAGTCTAGCTTTAATGATAAGATATCTTGTAAAGGAGAGGAGTCTACCTCTGATTCCAGAATGCAGCAGCAGCAGCGGCTAAGAAGAGCATATACGCATGTTGAGCAAGTGGTTGTTGGCTTGGAGGACATGACAGAGATTGTTTTGACTCAGTTGATGACAGAAGAAGATGAAGAAGAAGAAGAAGAAAATAGACCTCATGTCGTTTCCATAGCTGGAATGGGGGGCATAGGTAAAAGCACTCTTGCAAAAAATGTATACAAGCACGATCATGTGAGACGAAATTTTGATTGTTTTGCTTTGGCTTTTATTTCTCAAAAATGTATGCCAAAAGAAGTTTTCTATGACGTCCTCTTAAAAGTTCATTCTCCTGCTAAAAAAGAAAGAGAGGAAATTGATAAAATGTCCGAGAGTGATTTGATCAAAAAACTTTTTGAAGTCTTGAAAGAAAAAAAATATTTGGTGGTCCTCGATGATATCTGGAGAAGTGAAGATTGGAAATGCCTTAAACCTGCTTTTCCAAAAGGGAAAAAGGAAAGCAAAATTTTATTCACAACACGAAACAAGGATGTGGCATTACGTGCAGATCCTCGCAACTCCCAATAGAGCTTCCACTTCTTACTGATGTTCAAAGTTGGGAGCTTTTCAAGAGGAAAGCATTCCCTGGAAATACAAGGGAGTCCGATGCTGGCTTAGGAGACGTTTTCGAGAAGCTAGGAAGAAAGATGGTGAAAAAATGTGGAGGGCTACCTCTGGCAATTGTTGCGTTGGGAGGCTTGCTAGCAACTAAAAAATCACCCGCTCAGTGGGAAATGGTTCAAAGAAACATGCATGCACGCTTAAACGAGGTTCAACTACAAGACCATCAGAATGATGCTGTGAAAGGAGTTTTGGTTTTAAGCTACAATGATTTGCCCTATTATTTAAAACCATGCTTCTTATATCTTGGCCATTATCCAGAAGATTGGGAGATCTCAAAGAAGGAGCTCATTCGATTATGGATTGCTGAAGGTTTCATTTCACCATCAGTTGGAAGCAGAGAAATGTTGATGGAAGATGTTGCTGAACAATTCCTGGAAGAGCTGATAAATAGATGTTTGGTTCAAGTTGACAAGAGGGATCGTACAGGATTAGGTGTGAAAACATGTCACATACATGATCTCTTGAGGGACTTGTGCGTGGAGAAAGCTCAAGAGGAGAATTTCCTAAAAATTATTCAGCCAAATGATGTGACTTTGTCGGCATCTATGTCACGAAAACATCCGCAATTACGTTCTCTGTCGCTCTTTCAAAATGAGGAATTGATAAAATTGCACATTTCAAATTGCCAAAACTTCAAAAATTTAAGAGTCTTGAGAGTTGTGCGAAGGGTCAAAAAAGAGTGGCGTGTGTCAAGTGGAATTGGTAATCTACATCATCTGAGATATTTGGAGTTAGAAAATCTTGGAAAAATCATCTTGCCACGGTCTTTTGGAAAGTTGAAATGTTTACATACTTTGCACGTCCAAAGTTTTGGATTAACAATAAATCTTAAAGTTCTATTCAATATGGAACGTTTAAGGCATATTTTATTATTTGCCAATGATTGGCGATTTCCTGGCCCTGCTGAATCGTGGATACCGCCAAGGATTACTTCAAAAAATATTGAAACTTTAAAGTACATTGGGGTTGAGAATTTAAGTGAAGATAATGCAGTGTTCGACTTGGCTAATATTCAGAGTTTAGGAATATTTTTTAGGAGATCAAAAGATGTTGAGACTATCCTAAAAGCACTGGTCGAATTACATCGCCTTCGGTCATTGGACATGAGATTTTCATGGGATTCATGGAATTCACGCCAATCATTTCCAGACTTGGAACCCCTTTCTCGGTGTCATCACCTCTCAAAACTATTCTTAGATGGGAAGATAGCAGAAGATCCACAATCTATGCATCATGTTTTGAAATTTGTTCCAGCAAACATTGCCAAGTTAACTTTGGTGAATTCCGGGATGATGCAGGATCCAATGCCTGTATTGGAAAAGCTGCGTCATTTGAGGACTCTCCGCTTATGTCGGGGTTCATACAAGGGGACTAAAATGATTTGCTCTGCTAATGAGTTTCTTCAACTTGATTCTCTTGAAATAGAAAAGTTAACAGAATTAGAAGAGTGGGAGATTGAAGAAGGCGCAATGCCATGTCTCCGGAGTTTATCTTTGTTTGGATTAAATAATTTGAGGATGATTCCAGAAGGGTTGCGGTATATTACTGCTCTCCAAGAAATGGTATTAATATGGATGAATGGGTCATTGGTAGAAAGGATTCAAGTGATAGACAGGAGAGAAGGAGAAGATTTCTCTAAAGTCCGCCACATACCCTCCATCCAAATATTTCACACATACTTTGACGACAGAGAACTCTAATTTTGCAGGTGAGTTATTTGTTTTTATATAAAATAGTAGTCTCTTTAGTTTGTTATTTGGGACTATAAATATTCATATATATCATTTCCTTTCTAAAAGAGATGATGATAGATGCCATTTTCATCTTTGGTGTAGGTAATGATAAGAAAGGCACTGATACGAGGCAGAGTTGGATGCTTTGTTTGATCAATGAAAGGCAATCGTGCTAATAAGCGTAAGAAGAGGCTGGCTCACTTCGATTTGCCTTTTGGTTGTTTCAGAGTCTGATTTGTTTCTTTTTTCCTTCATAGTTGATTCTGATGGTCAAGTGCTTTTAGGAAATGAATTGCTATGAGCTTTAATGAACTGGATGTTATTGATTTTAAATGTGGAGCGTATGAAGATTATCCAAGTGTTGATGGCAAGCTACTTATAGTTTTATTTTCTGAATTTTATTTCTTTTTAAAGACTTTTTTCTTGTTTATTACTGACTTTGTTTAACTGTTTATCTTTACTAATAAACATCACTGCTTGTAGACTGATAAGTTAGTACAAAAGGAGAGCAAAAGTAATTCTTGATTCATTGAAAATTTTCATGTTCGACAACAGAAAGATCAGTAGCAGAAATGCTTTTGAACTTTCCTGGAAAAGAAAATTGTTGAGAAACTGGCAATAACAGCAAAATCCAAGATGTATTTAGGTTGCATACGTATTTTGTTCATAATTCTTCAAGCAAAATAATGGACGATGTCAGAAGAACTTCTGAGTGTTTTGTTTGACTTCTTTAGGTTACAATTTTGATTTATTATCACCATCAGCCCAAAAAGATTGAATGCTACTTTACTACAATTTGTGCATCAATAAGTAATTAATAGAATCGAGAAGAAGAAAAGAAAGGAAAGCCCACATGCCTTCCTGAGGAGTTTTATTTTTACTTCAAGTTGTCAAGATTTGGCCTTTGATTATTAAAACTAAAAATTCTAACACTTTATCAAAGACCATGCTACCAAGTACCAACAGACCTTGTGTAGATACTCATTTGTTCAGAGTCGATCAAGTCAATTTTATTATTTTTATTATTATTACTAGTATAATATATCAATACTACTATATTATATTATGTTATATGGTATATTATTATTATTACCTTATAGTTATTATTATTATTATATTTTCTTTTTCTTTCTTTTCTTGTTTCAAGTTTGGCATGAATTTTGGAAACTAAAATCTGATCGGTGGAATTCAACACAATCATTGATTTTATTGCATAATTGGGGTTACAGATTCAACCTAGGAAATCAACCAAAAACCTAGACTCAATTTAGTAATTGAGTAAATTCCAATCCCAAGATTCAAAACTAAAAATGATTTTATTTGTTTCCTAAATCTATCTTAAAAGGCCTATAAATTGAACAAAAAACCACGGAACAAAGGAAGGTGGATTTCAATTACACGAGGAAAAGTTGGAGAAAATTTTGGACAATAGGCTTCTAGATTTTGATCTGAAAATTTTTTGGAATAATAATGATTCTAGGTTTAAGTTTAGATTTTTTGAGTGCGGATTGAAGTTCTAAAAAGATTTGAAAGAAATTTGAAAAAATTTGAGAAAATTTGAAATATTTTTGAAAAATCTAAGTTTTTCTCTAAAAAAATATAAATTTTTTGATGAATATTTGAATTTGTCAATGAATTTTTCGACAAGAATTTGAATTTTTCGATTAGATTACAACCAAATTTCTAGAAACCAACAAAAAACCCAATTTTCGATTGAGTTTTTAAGAACATTTTAGAAAGAAGGGAAAGAAAATTAAGATTAGAGAGAGAATGGCTCTAAAAATTCTGAGAAAAAGCTGAAGAGCGTGACTTTTATACGATACCAAAATGGCACTGTTTTAGAAATCCTAAACCCACGGATAGATCCATTGACTTGCATGTTGACCCATGCACTGACCCAACTTGAATAGCAAGTTTTTCTTTTTTCATTTTTATTTTATTTTTTGATTTTATTTTCTTTATTTTTTATTTTTTTAAAATTTTTATTTTTAGTTTTTTATTTAATTTCACTGATTTTTATAAAAAAAATCTTTTCTTAAAAATAAAAAAAAGCAAAGAATAAAAATGATAAATAAAATAAAATAACAAATAAAAATTCTTATAAAATAAATTTATGAAATTTACTAAACAGTTGAAAAATTTTCATAGATTTAATTTTTTAAAATAAAATCCACCAAACTATTGAAAAATTTCATAAATCAATTTAAAATAATAATAATAATAATAATAATAATAAATTTATCCTCTAAACTATTGGAGGATCGTTTTAAAGTAAGTCCTATCAAACTATTGAAAGACTTATTCTTAAAATTTTATAAATACTTTTTATAATAAAATCTCATCAAATTATTGAAAAATTGGATTCAAAATAAGTCCTACTAAACTATTAGGAAACTTACTAATTTTTTAAAATAAAATACTATAATAAATATGATGATAGAGCCTCTTCAAAATGGAATACTAATCTCCATGAATACTATTGAGATGAAAAAATTATCTTAAATTACTACCAAACTATTGAGGTAATTTTAACATTAATTTTCAATATTAAATATTTTGGTAAAGCATAAATATTTTTAAGGCTTGGATAACTTAAAATCAAACTGCTACTATCATTGAGATGAGCGTTGTGAAGGTGCTATAACATTTCTCATGCGTAACCATACTCCCGAACCTAAAATCCAATTTCGTGGATCAGATTCGATTAGGTGACCAATCACACCTAAACAAAAAATATTGGTGAAAACTTCTCTAATCCATATCTAGTGGTAGTTCACGGATCTATACGTTATAACACCTTGCAATTGTTGGCCTTTTTGATCAGTCTTTGAAATCAAGGAAGCTAGATTTGCAAACCAATCCTGAGTACAGAGACCAAAGTAGCAAGCATAAAGAACAAAGTAGCTGTGACCCACATAAGCCCATACCTAACATATGGCAAAAATCAAGACCAATAAACTAAATTAACAAATAATCATGAAAATAATCATACATTGATTCACCACTATCTAGTTGTAGCTATTACATCGTCAAGATTTCCACATAATCAGAGGTATATTTCATTACATCATAGTAACAAGGAATTCATTTTTCTCATGGAGACAAAACAAGGACCATGTACCCTGTTACTTTTAGAAAGCCATCAGAAGAGAATTTACTGTTTGTATCCTAGCATTATACATTAAAAAATACCTTGATTGACTTATGAGAAAACATCATTTGGTTGAAGGCAGACTATCCATGATCTCCCTTTCAAACAACTCATTGAGATTCTCTTGTATAAGAAAAATAAAAGGCTAAAAAAACAAAGTACAAAATTCTAGTGTACTTTAACTTCCATAAAACTATTAAGATCAACGGATTCTATCTATCTTGTCTTCCTATTTTCTTTCTTAAAAATGGCTTCTTTTTATTAGTCTACTTGCAAAGATGACCAATTGACCATAAATGAAAAGGGTAGGACTAAGATAAGAATTATAGACAATGATGCAATAAACGTGCAACTGATGCGTGCGTGTATCTTTTGTATTACTGCTGGCCTTTATTCCCTTTAGATAAAAACCACATGCACTAATCATGTTTAGTATGCTTTCTTTTTGGATAATTAGGTGATTTTATATATCCAAAAGAAATTGAAATATTGTTACATCAAAATTGTTCTAGCTAATAATGCCAACATACAAATAATCAAACATAAAGAGTAGAGCCGTTTAGACCGAAAGCTATGCAAAATGTTGTTATTAACACAATCTGTGGTTAAATGAGGCAACCTTGTTGTTAACCTCAATCCGAGCACTTCTTTGATATGACTAAGAACTTGCAAAAGAGAATCAGTATATCAAATAAATCAACACGCGCCAGGTAGGGGTTGAACTTATGACTTTCTGCTTAGGAAACATATGCTCTAGCTACTGAGCTATAGGTGCTTTCAATCCTACTTTTCATCTCAATTTATATTGACTAGAGATAATATGCTTTTATGAGGTCTAAAACACAAGAAAATAAACTTTTCACCTCTAAAGGGCAACTTCCATTCCAAAAATAGAATGATGAAGCTTTGACAAAAGCAGCTTTTTCATCCATATTATAGAATGTATCGTTCTATGATATAATGAAGGCAGAAGAAGAATTAGGGGTGGGAAGCATACTCACAGATCAAGGTTAGCATCAATCTTTCTGAAAAAATCTCCACCAACAGGATAAAAGGAACTTATCAATCTGTTAATGACAACATCTGTATCCACATTAAAATAGTGTGTGTATGACGAGATACTAAACACCCCCTTCCAGTTTTTTGGTGGCTGTTGTTGGAATACTTCTGCATAGGATAGACAAAGGGATCATTAAACATTAAGCTTCCTTCAGTAACACTAAATAAAAGCATTACAATATTACCATCATGAACGACATATAACTGCGACCCCAGTAACTCGGCCACAATATTCTTAGGCGTTTTAGAATGTGAATGCAAAATGATTAGTCTACAACTCTACATTCCTAAGAAGAGACACACACAAACACACAATGAAATAAGCAAGGAGAGAATGCTCAAGGAAAGTTAAAAAATATAAATAGAACCACCAAAGGGATACATGCATCAGGAGAAGGTTCATTTCAGAACCTCCTTTTTAAAAATATTCACCATGGACTCCATTCCACATAAAGAAATTAGTAACTACGAAAATAACCGGTAACTATTCCATAAAGTAAAGGAAAACATAAGAGTAAATTGCAATGTACAGTATTCATTCAAACTTAAAGTGCATCGAAAATAACAACCTTCCTCGCTAAATTTCCCTAGCATACCAGATGTAAATTCCATTAAGTAAAACCACTCAGTTCAATGACCTAATCTCCATATCTTAACACTAGATGTCATGATTTCGAAAGTTTCCTCTCTCCTTCAGTTATTATCTATTTGGGAAGAACAAAGTTTCCTTACTAAACCATTCTTTAACACTTTTTTTTTATTAAGAATAACTCATTAAGCCATTAATCATTGCAAATATAGCAGAATTTTCAATTTAATCACACCAATAGCAAAAATAATTACCTTCTAATCATAAAAGTACAGAGTAAGAAAAAGAAAGACTGATAAATTTAACTAAGTTTTTCTTATATGGCAAGAAAATAAATTAAAAGAAAAAACAAAAAAGAACATACCAGTTGGAGCTCTAAGAGTTTGGTAACCTGGGCCGCCACCTCCTCCGCTGCCATTATTTGGCAGGAAAATTTGCATATTCGCTCCTGGAACTACACAATTTCAAAATCAACAAATAAAAACAAATTCGCAATTACTGTAAACAAACAAACCTTTCCAAATACTGAAAATAAAAGGAATAGTACATTCATACGAGGCTTTCTTTTCTTCATTGACAACAGCCTGAGATTCGAATGAAATTTGAAATTAATTCACATGAAAAACATCGATCTTGATAATTTAATTCAATAAAACTGAAATAAAATGCTATAAATTAACTGAAAAAAATAAAGGAAAAAGGATATTAAACAGCTTACGGGAACTGAGCCGAGTAAATGAGTTGTAGCAAGATTTGAATACGATGATTCCTCCATTGAAAATAAGAGATTGAACTGAATTAACAGGAAGAGCGCTTTTTTTAAGAAAGAACTGGGGAAATTCTCTTTCAATGGAGAAAACGGTGCGTTTTGACGTAATTTGGAAGCAACGGAGATGACGAGGGAAGGAAGTGCTTGACTGAACGGTACAGTACTAGGTGCTCTCTCTCTATCTTGGCACGGGCGTTTGGGGAGCTGAGCTTCACGCGTCGGTTGCTTTTTGTTTTCCCAGCGAGGTTCACATGGTTTGGGCTAATAATGGACCTACTTGGTTATTTTTTGGTTTAAAATAATGTTTGTTGGGCTTTTTATTGACAAATTTGGCCACGAAACTTTAATCAACCGATCCAATTTATCCATCTAGATCAGTTTTTTAAACACTATCAATAAAGTTTCTTTTTCTTATTTATAAAATTATTTTAAAATATTTTACAAACAATGTATAAGTTTATTGAAAATTTGAGATATTTACAGAAAAAATCAAAATAATTAAGAAAAAATAATAAAATTCAAAGCATACAACTTTAAATAAATAGAAATATTCTAAAATATAAGAAAATAAAAAATGCAAAAAATTAAAGAACATAAAATATCATTTTAGAAACCCATATATCTCCAAACATTAAAAAAATGTAAAATTAAGATATTTTAAATGTTTAAATAATAAAAAACTTTAGCATAAAAAATAAAATAAAATACAAAAAAAAAAAAGAACGATACAAAATCCGAATAAATCACAATAAGAAAAAAGATTTAAAAAACCAAAATACTCATATGAAGACAAAATAGGAAAAAAAAAAAAACTTCCTAAACATTTTGAAAATCCCTCGTACCTCTTTGTACCTAGGATTCTATTTTCTTTATTGAATTTATTGGTGTGTGTTTAGGTTGGTTTTTATTGAAACGTTGTTTGGGTGATTGATTTGGAAATTATAATGATATATCACAAAGAAAACGATTAACAGAGAATCGAAAGTAGAGTTTAGAATGTGTTTTAACGTTTAAATCAGTAATATATAATTGAATTCCTTGTTACTATGATGAAATGAAATGTACATCTGATCATGTAAAAATTTTGAAGACGTAACAGCTACAACTAGATAGTGCTGAATTAATGTGCGGCAATTTTCATGATTATTTATTAATTTCGTTTATTGGTCTTGATTCTCGTCATATGGTCTTTCAAAATTGAGGATATTTCCATAAGGGTTGAGGTATATTATGGCTCTCTCAGAAATGAAACTACATTGGATGACAAGTATTCAAGTGTTTTAAACATGAATGTTTTTTATTTTTTTCTTTTTTATTCAAAGAAGGGCAACGCCTTATTACATGAAGAGGGGGAGGAAGAAGCTTGGTTTGAACCCAAGCTCTAATGTCTTTTTTAAGGCTTCATTACCACTAGGCCAAAAAGTGGAAGAAAAATGATATCTTTTAATCTTTACATGTTATTCTATAGCCTTTAATGCTTGCTTTAATTTGTCTGTCATTTAATTGGTTTCATCGTGACTTTCACGCTTGATGAGAACATATGCCTGTCATGCTAATTGCTTGAGTTAGAAGCATGTTTAGATATATTTTCTTCGATTTATAAAATTTAATATCCATGTGATGGAAAGCATCATAAATGCTTTTGAAGTTAATGAAAAACTGCTGTGCTGGGGGATTGATTACAGTTCAAGTGCTTTAAACAATTTAATTATAGGAGGAATATAATGCTCTCTCAACGTCATAATGGCTTCAATGAAGGAATCACATTCCAAATCTGAGCTGTTTTGGTTTTATTTGTGATCATCACAAAATGTGCAAAATTATTGGAGACCTGAGCATTAGGAATTGTAAAAATAGTTCTGTCTTTTCTTCTCTATCATCTTCCATCGGCTATCAAATGGCTCAGGAATGCTGCCCCGAAGGATCAATTTGTTCGTTTTCATGTAATGCTTGTGTTTATGGATTATATTTGCTTGAGATTACATTATGCTATGAAAAATATTTCCCTGCCTCTTACATGACACGGTTAGAGAACCTTAGATTGAGTTTCTGGTTGTAGTCTTTGAAATGTTCACTTATAATATATATATATATATATATATAATTACAGTTAGATTTATTAATTTTTTTGACGAAAAGAGTATTTAGAAAAAATTATTGAAGGTATCTCGAAAAAATTTTGCTCAAATTTTCTTATTTCCTGAGAGATCTCTCTGGGGGTTTTACGTTCTACACCTTCCTATTCATTTCTGCTTCTGTTGGGTTTTCATAATTTCTTTATTTTGATTGATTAGGTCCTTTTAACTGGTTCCTTACATCCTGTAGGTGATGTTTTGAGATTAATCAAGAAATGTGGATGAAGCATCCTATGCGCTTATAGTTCTCTTACATCTACTGTGTATGTTTGTGCAATTGACAACAGCATTGGTTCATTGACTTTTCCAAGTGAGGCGAACTCCCTATGCTTTTCAACTGGCCCCTAATGGGTTTCCAGGCTTCTTGGGTTGTCGGTTTAGGTATACCCCTTCGACAATGCAGTTCGAAATAGGCCTAACTCTTATTTCCAAAAGAAGTATTGTTTTTGCTTGAGAAAAATCCAACAAAAATATTACATCAGATCAAAATTTTCAATTTTGCCCACATTCTTTTTTTTTTGTAATTTTTTTCTAGTGTGTGCTTCATCCAATATGCAAACTACATTTTGGAACAATTTTACCGATTGGTTTAGTAATTTCTTTGGCCTTTTTTTATGAGTTGTGATCCCATAATTGACTTTGCCAAAAGCTCACCTGTTGATGATGCAATCCCTGAAAGACTACCACAAGATAGACTGACCAGGACAGTGGAATCATGGGGCCTGATAGAAAATTAATTATAAAAAAGAGAAATGAGTTGTGCTTAGAAAAGGATGATCTATGAAACAATCATCACAAGAAGGCACATTTTATTGATGCAGAGGAGTAACCACCTTTGTGACTGCCAGGAAGACATCAACCTCTCATATACTGAAAGGCTAATTGCTATGCTGGGTCCAACACCCTAAAGTGTGCTCCAAGTCCCCTGTATAGGACCAAAACACCCTCCTCTTAGCATATAGTTGTAAAGCACGCCAAATGCCTTTGTAGTACGTAACATTTGTCTGTATATTTGTTGGTTGCATAGCAGAACAAAAATATTTCATTCTAGCTTACTCTTCTAAATTATTTGTTTATTGAGAGAAAAAAATTCAAAAAAGTGGCAATTTGTCTATGATATTCAAGGGCAGGACATATTCCACATTGTTCTGTGTTATTGAAGCTTTGGGTTTATGTTAATTTGAGCTACAAATTGAAAAAAAAAATCTAAAGACAATTGAAAAAGATGTAGAAATTGAGACTTAATTATGTAAGTTCACGAGTAAATACTAAAAAAATTTAAGATTTATCCTTAAAGATTAATCTTAATGATAATTTTTTTACTTGTCAGCTAAATTTGATAGTTGTTGAAAGTATGTTAAAAATAAAATTTTGAATGCATTTAGTTGATGTAAAAAAACGTCTTAAATATTATTTGAGAAAAATGAAATTAGGTTTAGATAAAAATTATTAATCGTATCATTTAAAAAAAAATAACTTAATTTCATATCATATCATAACATAATTAATTGGGTTTATATTTAATACATAAAAAATTTCAATAATAAATTACTATCTTTTAATTAATTAATAATATATAAAATTTATATAATGATAATATAATCAAATAATTTGACTGCCTTATTTTTTTTTTGGTCATTATCAATGACTTTTTTTTTTTTTATGAAACCAATGACTTTGGGGTCTTCGATAATTTTCTTTTCTAACTACGTCTATTTAAAAATTATCGTGGTCTTCATTGTTAAATATTTAGGATTTGGTACCTGATATATTGGTTCAACCGATATATTGGTTCAAATAAAAACCTTATGGACAGATTTATCCGTTGTTGAACTCTGACAATGTTTCATATCAATTTCTTTTAAATTTCCAGATTGATCTAACAAACAAAAGAAAACAAATTTATTACAGTTTCAAAGTAGGTCATGTATTATAGAAATTTTTTTTAGTGAGAGTTTTTTATGTTAAAAATATAATTAATCGAGTTTGAGTTGATATAATATTAATTTTAAATTTAAACTAAATTTCAAATTTAAAATTCGAAATTCGGTTCGAATTCAATCAAACTTTTTTTTTAATTCAAATTCTACTCGAGATAAATTGAGCTACTTGAGTTGCTCGATTACATTCAATGAACATAAAAAATAAGCTCAATTTTATATTTGATAAAAATTAAATTATTTGTATTTGAATATGAGATATTTTATTAATTAAAATAATTAAAATATAAAATTTCGATTAAACTTGTGAGCTATTCGAATCAAATATAAAAATATTCAAATTCAACTCGATCGATAAATTGAGTTACTTAAACTCAAACTCGATTCGATAATAATTAAATCAAATTTAAATTTTATTCAAGAAAAATTTGAATAATTTATTGAATAATAATATATCATTTATACCCCTATTACACGCTAATTTAAAAATGTGACCGAAGTTACCAAAAAAGGCTTTGAAAACCAAATAACAGCAAAGTCCTAGCCTATGACGAACAAGCACCTACACAAATATTAAATATACTTGTTTTTATTTTAAGAATTAAATTTAAATTCAAATTTCTTTTTCAACAACAAAACATTGGAATTTAATTTTGAATGAGACAATGACATGTATTCTTTTTCCCATTTCGTCCAATTATTATGTAGTAGGTGTGTTGCAATGAAATAATTTAAAAGACAGTTCATTTAATTTTTCTAAAGCGTCCGTTCGTGTGGGAAAGTGAGTTGTTTAAACATTACATAAGATCTAGCACCCCAAAAAAAAAAAAAGATCAAAATTTTCGATTTTGCCCACATTATGGAGCCACTTGCGCAGCAAGGGTGAGTCATTTCTTCGTCTTTTCACTAAGCTTTAGGCCTTCGTACCTCAACAATGCTTGGCAAGAGAAGAAGTTTTGCTTGGAATTTGGACAAAAGTTGTAAAACCCAACTCAAAGGCGAGGAGTTGGTTGCAGATATAATGTACTTCAAATCTCTGTCTCTAACTGTATCTGTAAGTTCATGATTATATAGCTAATTTTACTTCAAATTGCTTTGTCTCTAACTATATATGTAAGTTCATAGTTAATTAAATATTAAAAAAAAAACTTAAATTTCACTTGGCAATTTTCAACCATATAAAATATTTTTACTTTGATTTTAT